CCTATGGGCCGATGATGCCGTCCTGGGCTGCCGCTCGCTGTTGCGTTCATGGTAGCTGACGTGCGAGGGCACAGGGTACCTTTTGATGGTCTGGGGTGGGTCCATTCTGTGTTATAATTTGAATTTTTTGTGAGAAGGCCTTACTTCACCAGCACTTGCACTCCTCAGCCTGGATTTCCTGACTGTGTTGGTGACCCTCATCCAGGTCCTAGGTTCACGTGTGGGCTGTTTTCTTGGTTGTGTGATCTTTCTCGTGTTTCCGCAAGGCCCACAGCTCAGGGATCCTGCTTTCGACAACTAGTACGTCTGCAAAGACCAAGCAGTAACAGATCTACCCCGGTAGCGATGTGCTCGCCTGGCACCTGCGACTCCTGTATCTTCGTAGTACTGTATGTCGGAGGTTTGGCCAAATCAGTCACTACGAAACCTGCATCCTGTTTGCCGAGCAACAGCTGCCAAGCGGGGAACTCTGCATTCTTCCAGGGCCTGCGAGCCTACCAGGGGATCAACGGCACCAGCTGCGATGCTTACCCGGCGCCATTTGCCTTGAAATTCATGCCGTCGTCCTGAACAGGGTGGGCAGGACTGAATAATTACTCATGCTATTCCCTTTTGGTCCCTGTATACCCCCCCCCCCCCCCCAAAAAAAAACTCAAACTTGTAGAAGGATTCGAGTTGCGGAATGCGGAGAGCAGCTGCGAGTACTGCTAGATGACGTATGTGAAGCTGAGCGAAGCTGACATGCCGCAGTCTTGTGAAGGTTCACGATGTTCATGTAGGCCTCTAGACCCGGAGTTGGAACGACCCAAGACTCAGAAGTTGAAGGTGTCACGAAGTCCGTCTTGCTGGCAATTGCTGCCCCAACCATGAGAAGGCCGGATGGCAGGCTCTGGCAATTCTGCAAGATGCCTTGCAAGGGTTTAGGGTTTAGGGTGTAGGGGTTCCTGAACAAATTTCGGCTCTTTCGCGACTTCTCGATTTCCACGTGCTTTGCTGGGTGCCACATCGTCAAAAACGCCCGAGCTCCTGCGTGCGAGGTTATGCTTTCTTGTTGCGGTGGGCTGCCTCTGGTGCTTCGGCCGAAGTTTCCGACTTCTTTGGCTTCGGGCCCATGGGAATGGGTGCAAGGGAATAATCGATCTGGGCCGTTTACTGGACTTGACTTCACGGCAGGTGCATGTCAATGTTTGTTTGTAGCTTATATGCAACCAGGGCTGCCACGCGCTTTGGTGCGACAGTAGCCGTCAAAGACGACTGCGTGGCCAGTGTGATGCAGTGTGGACTTGTATACGAGTGCCCAGGCCCGAGTTTCAAGGAGGACCGCCGAGATGAAACTAATGTTGAGCGTGATTTCTTGAGGTTGGCTTAGACTCTTGCCGAGTACCAGTACTGACATTTGCAAGGAATTCATAGCTACTTCTTGATGCTGGCAGCCGCTGAACCTGTGCTTTTGTCTGACATGAGGCACTGCCTGGGCACCAGGTGACACCTGTCGTGCCGAACACAGAACCTTAGCCCCTCAGGCAGCAAGCGATCAGGGCTTAAGGTTCAGGACTGAAAGTTGCATGTTGACTGTAGGAAGGCTTAGGACAGCATCAACAAAAATATTGGAGTTGCCACTTGCTGCTCCTGCTGGCTAGAACACCCAAAGTTAGGCCTAAAGCCCTGCAGTTCAGGACAGTCTGTCTCAGCGCGCTGCGAACAAACATCACGAAAGCTAGCTAGCCTCTGACAGCTAGCGGAGTTACCCGAAAAGCCGCGGTCGCATCCAAAGGGAGGGTTGGGGTCCAGGCGGTCGTGCCACTAAATGACGTATCCCGGACGAAATTCCGTGACCCTCGCCCCCCCCCCCTCATGTTCATTTGGGTTGTCTTTTTTTGTGTGAACGCCCCCCTTTTCGTGTACACGCTGAACCCTAGGCCCTCCTCGGCTAAGTGCTCAGGATTCGTTTGTGGATTTGAAATGCCAGCCCCTGATTGCCAGCTTGGCTGAGACCCCCCTCACATAAAGAAGCCAACATGGGGCATTTCACGGCAGACTTTGCATGTAGGGCTCGCTGTTCGGTGCTTGTTTTTGCCCTTTGAGGTATAATGAAGCGCCCGGCCCGCCTCCCCCCTGCACGCCCTCCGCTAGCTTTCGTTCCGCTCCCTTGCTCCCAAGTCTGCACTGCAGTCGCCCAACCGTCAAACCCTGCTGTCAGTCGTCGCGTGCAGTATTTTCATTGGCGAGAGAGTATCTAACCCTAAGCGGGTAGGGGGCAGCCGAGGTCTTCAACCTCCATGAAATGGTTCGCGCTGTGGGCAACGATCACCTGTCCACTGACTCGCTGTCTCCGCACTTCTCGTTAATTATACGTCTTGTGCAGCCGGTGGAGCACACACAGTGCGCGTGGCCCAGTTCACTGGGCGTCTGCATGAAATAGCCTGAGAGCCCGCTCAGTCTGCAAGACCTGAGCCTGGTACAGCAGCTCATGGGCTTTTTCGCAACTGCCAACCTCCCCCCCAAAACCATCCCAAGCCCTTTCTTGGCTAAGTTCTGCTGCTCCCAAAAAATCCCAAGATGGGAGGCTCTGGAACTTTCAACCTCCATGAGCTCGGGGTGCCGGAGAGTGGGAGTCGACCACCCATAGCTTTGATCAGGGCTTTCAAACATGCTAGAACCCTCTTCTGCCATCTTGTGCTAAGTGATGTTAGCTGCCAACAACTTTAGTCTGTTTTGCCTTCAACTCTGATTGTGGTTCCTCTTCTCGTTGTTTTCTGTCCTTGATTCGGTCTTGGTACGAGCAGAAGACCATCAAACCATGCAGCTTGTTAGGAGGAACTACACTTCAGAGCGCCAAGTAATTCATCGAAAAGCGGCTCCCGTGGAGCAGCACGCCACAAACCCAGTTGAACCAGGCTTGCTTCTTGAGTTGCAAGGTTCTTAGGCCGCAGACAGCAGGTGCTTGCCACTGCTTTCTTGGGAGAGCTGTTGGATTCTTCCATCCCAGGCCCGAGTTAGCTGTTCTATTCATTTCACTTGTGGATCCCGGAAGCCCTACACATCCCTAAGCCCCAAGCCCGAAGCACACCCGATTTTAAACAAAGCAAACCCAACCTGCGGCTCCCAAGCTCCCCAAAGCTGTTGCTTCAGAAGCCTCTGTGTGGTAGGTGCCCACAGGAGTCGCATTACAAAGCCACCCTTGCCCGAAATGCTGGCAGTCTGGCTCGAACGCCCGTTCTCGGCATACAAAAAGTGGGCTGACAGGAGGGTGCGTGACACATCCTCTAAAAAAACCAAGTAGTTGCACAGCACCAAGACATGCGGCCCATTAATCATACTGAGTGAAGTTACGCTAGCGGCGCCTTTCAGGGAGGCTTAATGCCGTGGAATCACTTTCTTGCGCTAATCTCAAGTAGATCCAGGGCCTTTTGCCGGTAACGCTGCGGAATCTGAGCACTTAGCAAAGCACAACTTCCTTCAGGCTCCACCTTCGCGTTCCGAACCACGCAAAGCTCCGTTTCACTTACTTAGCCAGCAGTGGAGCTTTAAACTTTTTGGGGTTTCTTGTTCAGTCAGTAGGGATAATAAAGTTTGACCTTTTTTGTCCCCGGGGCTTTTGGAGAAGCAAGTTTATGAAAGCTGGTACTTCTTAGCCCTGGCATCCTTCCGAGTTTCAGGTGCTTCCTGCCAAGAGGTGGCAAGGCCGTGCCTAGTGGGGGGAGCTTGAGAACAGCACTTCATGAAGCCCATGATTATTTGCTTGAACACCCCCCCCCCCCCAGGTGCGGTGCCCCTTTCTAGCATTGTATAAGGGCCTGTATACGGGTGCCTCTTCTGAAAGTAAGTTGTTCGCACCTTAAAGGGTCCGGGTACGGTTCAGGGCTTTGTTCCCCGCGTCATTCGACGCTGTTTGGTCTGGCCATAGCTCCCTGCAGGTTCATGCGGTCCATGAAAGCAGCGCAGAAATCCCTGGAGGCGCCCTAACATCCAGCTATGCGGGTGCCAAAAAAACCCTCTTTTGTTGCGGGTTCTCGACTCTCCTTTGCGCACGACATCGCTGCAAACAACCCCCCCCCCCCCCCCACCCCGAAGGCACACCCCCCTCCCCCCCCCAAGCCCTGAACCCAAAATACATAAGCTGAGGCTCTTGAGCTCGAGATGAAACGCCTTGCGAGCGTGTACTGTAGACTACTATAGACCTTATAAGCTAGGCACTGTCTAAAGTTTGGACACTTTAGGTCTTTTGGACTGGGAATTACAGTTCGTGCTGCCTGGGAACGAGATTGACCTGCTTCTACCGTTGTCTCGATATCTCCCAGTGGGGCAAAACCATGGTGAACAATGACACTACGAGTATCCCTTAGGCTGTACATATAAACATAATATTCATAATAATAATCATAGTAATAATCATAATTATCACCATAATAATAAGAACAATGGTAGTAATGATGATAATAATAAAAATATAGCTCGCAAGGCCATCCTGCTCGCTTCCTGCCACCTCGACGAGCTGCAACTTCTCCTTGGCCAGGGTTTTCGAAAGCATGCACACCTCAGATAGGTACAACATGGTACAACCATAACGTGAACACCCTTGGAAAAGCAATCGCAGCATCAACTCCCAAAGCTTGTGGATCTTGTGACGATTGGTGCAAGTTCGGAACGCGAGCCAGTTTTGCTGTGTTTGTTACTTTGACAGGTCCCGTCCCATCCAGAATAAGTATACCTCTTGTTGGTTCTTGCTGCAAAAATGTTCAAACCACGCCTGGCAGGGCTCGATTCAGCTTGGCTCGTTGGACACCTCAGAGACTTGACTCAAACTTTGTTGTTCTCAGACCGTGTCCACAACAAGCTGGGCGCAAGTCTCATAAGTTTCTGTTGCGTCGTCCTCTTGATAAAGTTTACTGCGCCTGACGCATTAAACATGTATACATCTCACCCTGTCTGTTTCTCAAGCACGCAGGGCGCCTACCCGTAGTAGATTGGTCATTTCGAGACTGGCTCACTCGCGCACCATGGAGTTTGCCGTACTTGTAAAAACGCTTACGGGCGCTTCAAGATCCTTTACGGTCCGGCCGACGACCACAGGCGAGCAGATGAAGATGCTAATTCAGGAATGTTATGGTTACCCTCTTGATCAGCAGCGCCTGCTCTATAATGGCAGGCAGCTTGACGACTGGGACATCTTTGAGGAGTGCGGCATACAAGCAAACAGCACTTTACATCTGATCATGCGCCTTCGAGGCATGATAAGCATATTCAAAGTCAGCAGTGAAGACGACTCTTTGTCCACCTACCTAATGCTTTCGGACGACGAACGTGCGAGAGCGGAAGTTCCACTGGAAGACTTGCAAAGGAAATTTGAGGAGGAAAATGCTGGTCAATGGTCAACGTTCGCGTTTACAGAAGACGCCGGGATTTTGGGGCCTGCTGTGCGACGCAGGTTGAGCGAGTTTCTGGATTTCATGTGGTCGCGAGAGACGACTGATTCCTCCAGAGTCGACTTGCGTATGCATCTTCCAGATGAGGAGTTTATTCTTTTGCTGGCCACTGTTGGAAACAATCACGCCGAGATTCTGGAGGCTTTAAGACATGCTTTCACTGACATCCCCGGGACTCCGCAAGCTCGCGGAGAATCCAAGATAGCTTTGCGCATGACAAGAGGGCCGAGCAACGGGTGCATCAACTTCCACTGCGACGGTGGCTACGCGACAGGCACCGTGCAGATTGCCTTGTCGGAACCCTCCGAGTACCAAGGTGGGAGGCTCTGCTTCTTCGTGAATGATCGTCTCCACGTGTTAGAACGCCCTGCAGGCTCCATGTGCCAACATCCTCGCGCGGTGCTTCATGCAGTGACCGCGTTGACGGGAGGCACGCGCAAGAGCCTTTTTGTGGTCGACAAGTGCAATGGCCTGGGCGAAAATGGGGTCGTTGTGGCATCCCGGGAGGATGTCCAAGAGTTCCTCGAACTCGTTGCCTCGCGTGAACCCAGTGACTGTCCGCAGGTGCAGATGTGCTGCATGTGTCTTGCCCGGCCTTCGGCCTGTGCCCTACTACCTTGTGGACATCTCTGTGTTTGCCCGGTCTGCTCTGTGAGTGCAGATCTCAGGGCATGCCCTGTTTGTAGAAGCCCTGTGCAGCAAACTGCCAGGGTATTTGTGTAGCATGTTGCATATGTTGCCAGGGAAGCTAGAAGAAGGGCATGATGAGGCACAGAATGTGGAGCATGTTCTGCGCTTTCTTCGCGGCGCCTCCTGCAGATAGCGCCGGACTTGCGCAGCAAAGCTCTGCTGGGGGAATGACAACATGCCGGCTTCACGCTGCAATTCTGCAGCGTTGTGTCTTTGATACGTGTGTGGGTGTGTGTGTGTGTGTGTGCTTCTGTGACGAGAGACGAAAAGCACCTCGCCAGCGCCTGGACAGATGCCAAATCTCGCAGCTGAGGTTTTTTGTTCGGGGTCGTCGCGGGGTCGTTCCAAAGTAGAGTCTCTCTTCGTTGGCCGTTCTTTCAGGAATCTCATTAAATCCCATTCAACCGAAGGAATCTACAAGTAGGGGACCCTCTAGTTTAGAAGAACCCTCCCTGCCCCCCCGCGCTGTATCAACGGGGTTCATGGCAGCCAAGGGGATACAGGGTGCTTTCGGCGAAGTGCCAAGCCTTCAACGGCCTGATTGCGGAAGTGAGTACCAGCTCTATTAGTAGGGCCCCCGCGCGGTCGTACAGCCCCACCCGCTCAAAGGAGTCTGGCCCAATGCCTCGGCATTGAACACGACCCTCCAGGGGCGACGAGACTTCGTGAAGGACGGGCAGATGACGCGTAGCACATGGAATCTTGCTACACAGGGGATGCAATAGATCGACATCATCCCTCCCAAGATACGAAAGACCAAGCCATCTTAATTACCAAACAAGTTCCCTGAAGACCCTGAATTCCACCCCAACCAACCGCAACCATGCAGCAAGGCGTTCTCGACGCGCTTTGCGTCCGCGCCGGGGCCCGGTGCTTCTCACGCGCCACTCGTCCTCAATAGTATCTGCGGTATTCAGGGCCTGAGAATGCGAATTCGGATCTAATTGGGGTGCTATACGGGTCTAGACGGTCGCGGTTTGTTCAGGCTTGAATTGCATTAGCAGTTTAGGCTTCGGGCTTTGGCCTGTAGACTCTAGAAAGGCTTTCCGACGAGGAGCTTTGATTGAAAGCCATGTTTTGTTTCAAGCGGCTGGGGCCTAAACATTTGCAGGCTGAAGCTGCAGCCACCTTTAGCATGTGAGGGCGCAGAGGTGCAGCAAAGACTGCGCTCCCTTTACGGGGGTCAAAGTGGTTGAAGTTGATGTGCCATGAAAACTTGATTTGTGAAGGGGGCTCTATATATGTGTCGAACGTTCGCGAACATGTCGTGCGGCACATTCCCTTGCACCAGAGTCATTCGCTCTGGCACCAGACTCCTTCGCTCAAAGACCAGAATACCAGATTGTTACATCACTCAGAATCTTGGTCTAACTTCCCAACCGTTGGCCCAGTCACTGCAAGGTATGAGGTGCTCCTGGAGATGATGCAGGCTCTGGTCGCATTCAGATCATGGTGAGCACATGTGAGCACCTGAAGTTCCACCTTCAGAACCCTTATAGCCGAAGCCTTTCAAATATATAATAAAAATATATCATAATAATATATAATAATATATCATAATAATATATCATAATAATATATATATATATATATCATAATAATTTATCCTCAGAATCCTGCAGGCCATCGTGGCCGGAGCCTCGCCCTCTGCGGCTGTCGTGGCAGCCGGGCTTGGCGATGCCGCTGTCGCGGCCTGGCAGTTGCAGGTGCCAGCACTCCTGGGCCTTTTTTTAGTTTGGGGATATTTGGGATTAGGAACCGAAGGCTTGATGAGAAGTGTTGAGGATGTTTGAAAGCTCAGCTCTGGGCTTGAGGCATGTCTGAGGGCTGGAGGATGGGGAAGGCATGAACTGGCATAACTCGTGTTCCGTTGGGAAAGTTTTTAGGAACTTCGGGGGCGCAGACATGGGAGGCCGTGCCCGAGCATCCGCAGATCGTTTACCCTGCGGAGGCGCCAGAGGGTCGGCGAGAGGGTCGGCTAGGTTAGCCAAAAAAAGGGGCGGGAGGGGGGGATGTGGTCAGCCGAGCTTGTGTTGGGACATCCCTGCCTATTGCAGGGGCTTGTTGTGACGCAGTGTCCCAACCCTGCAAGCCTAGAAGCAATCTGCAGCAGGATTGAGACAGACACCCCCGAAGGCAGCTCATGGAAGGGCCGTAATACCCCGGTTAGTGTGAGCGAAGACTCCCCAAGACCCCCGGTTCTTAAGGCTTCGACCATGGCAGCTCTTTCTTGTTGCCCCATAAAGCTGAGGTAAGTGAGGCGCAGCTCGTGATCCCGATGCCATCTTGGGCCACTCATCCGTGTCAAGAGCTTTGGAGACTCTGCAGGGTAGGCGTAGTTGAACCTTGGATGATCGATATCAGTGACACGCGGCAAAAACTGATGCGAGAAGACTTGCACGGTGTAATCACGCCATCCAAGGCCGACCGAGCATGCACTTGGCCGCCTAACAGCAGCGCCATACCACGCTTCAGCAGCGGCCAGGCATTAAACCCCAGCAGGCATATGAGGCTGGATGTTCTCTATTCGAAGGCGTCAATGAGACTCCCATGTGTTGAGGGTCCGTTTATACATGCCAGCTTCACGCCGAAAACATTGACTGCCGCCAGCACGTTTCCGTCAAGTTCCGCCGACAGCCCATATTGGGTCGGAGTGTGTTCTACATCAGGGTGCTCTTCCCTTTGTTAACTTGTATAGTTGGGGTCTATCCTTATCGGACGAGTCTCCCAGCAGAAGCCTCTTGTTCAAGCGATTTACCGCAACAGGGACCCTCATAAACTCGAGAGAGCTCAGGCTTTGGCTTCGGTCAAAATGGCATCTGTGACCTCTGCCCTCAAGGAACCGAGGTCCGGATAGAGCTGCGGTGTGAAAGGGAACAAGGAGGACGGTGAGAGGAATGAAAGCCAAATAAATTTCCGGGTAGCATAGTCAGAGTCTGCAGTTCGAAAGTGAACCCATGCTCTCAGCTAAGATGTGAAGCGCCAGCAACCCCTCCCCTGTAACATGATCGATCAGTGTCCGCCATGCGCCCTGTTAGGCTCGCTTTGACACTGCCCAGCAGAGGCGTCTCTGCAGCAGCTGTGAAACAGGTGCCGGCCAGTCAAAAGCTCTACAGGTTTCCGATGCTTGCTCTCGGGATTAGGGCAGTATAGAGGCCCTAGAGGCCACGCGATCAAGTTGCTGGCATGGTTGGCTACGTACCTTGGCCGCTGTTGCGCAGGATTCAGCCAGGATGGAATCACATGTTTTCTAGGCAGCCTTAGGTATCTACAGTCTGTTGGCAGGTCGCACCTTCCGTTGGCTCTCAGTGAATGCATCTCGGCCATCCTTTAGGCACTCATTGATTCGAGATTCTCCTGTACAAGTGCCATATGCATGCGTATGAAAATTGGACTATTGCCCTCAATGCATCACAACAGGGGCTTTAACTTAAAGCCAAGGAGAGCCGCTGCGAGCTGCAATGCTCTGAGGGCCACGTGGAGGCCTGCTGGGCGCCCTATGCAACCCTTGGGTCCACTTCGGCTTTTATGGGCATTTCCCAAAATATGACATAAGTGCAGGATAAGACCCCCCTAAACCCTATAAACCCTAAGCACACCAGAGCCCCCTACGCCAGCAGGGCCTCGCAGAGCAGTGTCGGCCCTGTGACGCCGGGTACTTCTCAGAGACCTCTGAGTTCGGAGCGGCACCTTGGGCTTTGAGTCTTAAAGCCTTTTGCATGTGGTTTTTTGGGGTATGATCATAAGGGATCAAGGTTGAATGTCGGCTGGAGGGGCATAATTGGGGTCTTCACCCTCTTCTCTTATGAAGTGCAAGATGACTCTGGGGGTTCAGGGCTGCTGGGTTTGCTGTTTAGGAGTTTCGGGCTTGCCTGTCATGAACAGCTTTCAGAGCTTCTGGTTGCTGACTTCAGGGTGAATTGCTCGCAGGCCTGTTGAAGGTTTCTCGTGCTTAATCTATGCTTCGGGATTGTGTTGGGGCCTTTTTCTGAGTTGGGATAGGTATCAGGCCTCTTCGCATCATGACGGTGCAGCGTGCAGCCTTCTGCATGCGACTTTGCCATGAGCGTGTGTCTGCATGCACTAGCCTGGCTTGCTTCCTGTCGAGAAGTGCAGGATTGCTGACTCACTGTCTCCACAATGCTGGTGAGTTTGCGTACCGAACGCAGCTCAGCCTTCGGAACGGGCCTCCTCAAATTTAAGAACACCAACTGCAGAGTAGTAGAGGACTTCGGGCACAGCCGGGAAGTCCAAAGCTCGAATCTCCTGACTGGGCCCTTATGACTCATGTCGCCCACAGGCGTGCTCCGCCTGCGCGCAGGGCGAGACAAGCCCGGGACCCTGGAATGTGTTCTCTTTTCAAGGCAAAAACTTGGGTCAATGATTGCAGGAATCCTGCAGCGGTAGTGTGCAGACCATTTTGTGTTTGTTGTCTCTAGGCTTGCGTGCAGACGCCTGCAGCCCCCCCATGACGGTCCCATCTCCATAGCGCCTCCGAAAGTTTCCTATGTCTGATCCTTCATCCACCAAGTGGGCCCCCGAAATGAACTCAGATCCCCAACGGGTCCGGGAGAAGACTTGAGGCATGCCGGGCGGCAACTGCACGCCATGCACACCAGGCCTTCAGAAGGGAGAAGCTTAATTAAACTCAAGAGGAGTTACTGCACTAGGTTTTATTCGTAGCAAGCAACAGGTTTGAGGCATGGTGAGGCGACTTTTAAGCAGCAGAGAGGACTGTCGCAGGGTCTGCTTCCGCCGCAGGTTACTTCGGCATCGCCGGTTTGCCTGGTCCTCGGCAATCATGAGGTTTCAGAGCCTGCTAGGCTATTTCATCATACACGCGACCCCAGCTGCAACAACAGTAGCGATTCCAAGCAGTCCTCACTGGGCACCTGCAAACCACGAAAGTGAAGTTCACCATGCTCAGAAGGATCCTCGATGCGTGTTGTTCATTCGTTCATTCGAAACTCTGCGCCCTCAACCCTCCTCAACTCCTAAGCCTCTGAAGTAGTCCCCGCAGAGCACGCGCATGC